CCAGGAGTGGTTCAAATGATATAATAAGTGAGTACTTATTTAACAATGCTCCAGACATAGTTCAAATGATGTAATAAGTGAGTACTTATTTAACAATGCTCCAGGAGTTGTTCAAATGATGTAATAACTGTGTGTTTAGAGACTAATAACTTTCATTAATGACTTAGTATTTGGTAATTGCTGGTGCAGATCTTTACATCTTGTTTTAAGTATCGATAAACTGACCAAGTTGAACTGTTTAAGTTGCTGCATGTGTGATTAAAGTATCCTGTTGTTAGATTGATAGCAATGTTATGTTAATTGCTGGAGTATTTTTACTGTAGAATTCATAGTTGAATTATTTCTCTTATATAAAAACTAACTGTTAGCTGATCTTTGGTGTATCCACACTGTTACATTGTTGAAAGTACTAAAGTGTAGTGTTATTATTAGTATAGGAGAGATGACCATATTAAATTATGTCTTTAAATTATACTTTATACTTGGACATGTCATTAGTACACTGGTACACTTGCTTCAGAAACTCCAATTTTAGGATTATCCATCTGTAGAAACCTATGACTTTTGAATTGTTTCTCTTATATCAAAATTAATTGTTGGCTCATCTTCGGTATTACATTATTTAACATGTTATTAGTCTACGAGTGATGACAATGGTAAACGTATTCGTTATTTGTTACTAGCTTATTCATGGTGTAAGAAATCTGATTGTAAGATTATCTGGGACTGATTATCTCAAATAAAAAGCTGTAAATGTTAGATACTTCTTGGTAAAAATTGATGCTTTATGCTGCAGGATTCCCCCTTCTTTAGGGTCTTGTATTACGTCGATGAACAAGTTAGGTTGCTGTAGGACCTTGTATTATGTCAATGAACAAGTTAGGTTGCTGTAGGACCTTGTATTATGTCAATGAACAAGTTAGGTTGCTGTAGGGCCTTGTATTATGTCGATGAACAATTAGGTTGCTGTAGGGCCTTGTATTATGTCGATGAACAAGTTAGGTTGCTGTAGGGCCTTGTATTACGTCGATGAACAAATTAGGTTGCTGTAGGGCCTTGTATTATGTCGATGAACAAGTTATGTTGCTGTAGGGCCTTGTATTACATTGATGAACAAGTTATGTTGCTGTAGGGCCTTGTATTATGTCGATGAACAAGTAAGGTTGCTGTAGGGCCTTGTATTATGTCGATGAACAAGTTAGGTTGCTGTAGGGCCTTGTATTACGTCGATGAACAAGTTATGTTGCTGTAGGGCCTTGTATTACGTCGATGAACAAGTAAGGTTGCTGTAGGGCCTTGTATTATGTCGATAAACAAGTTAGGTTGCTGTAGGGCCTTGTATTACGTCGATGAACAAGTTATGTTGCTTTAGGGCCTTATATTACGTCAGTGAACAAGTTATGTTGCTGTAGGGCCTTGTATTACGTCAGTGAACAAGTTAGGTTGTTGTAGGGCCTTGTATTACATCAGTGAACAAGTTAGGTTGTTGTAGGGCCTTGTATTACGTCGATGAACAAGTTAGGTTGTTGTAGGGCCTTGTATTACGTCGATGAACAAGTTATGTTGCTGTAGGGCCTTGTATTATGTCAATGAATAAGTTAGGTTGCTGTAGGACCTTGTATTACGTCGATGAACAAGTTATGTTGCTGTAGGGCCTTGTATTATGTCAATGAATAAGTTAGGTTGCTGTAGAACCTTGTATTAGGTTAGATACTTATGCACATTAGTATTATTTTATATAGCTGTGACTTGCTCATCACCAAAATATCTGTATATAATAAAGGTGACTAACTATTTAGGCAAAATAGTTTATTTATATATGGATCATAAAAAAATGACTTAAATTTTATTTTGCTTTATAATAATGATGTAATTCCAAATGGTGAAGTATATAATAGAATAACAAGCTGGTTACCTGATTTATGATGTTTACGGAATTCTAAACAAAAATACAGTGGGGAAAAAAAAGGCTACATGAAAGCTGGAAATGCTACAAAGGTAGGTACATAAGTATTAAGGATGTCAGTGCATGATCTTGAATTAAGAAACAAAGAAATGGATGTATGGTACATTTAACAAAAGAATAAGATGTAAAACAAATACATTGTACATTAATAAGTTCATGAGATATAAAATGAAAACAGACATACCTTAAACAGATGCACAGTGTATAACAATGTGTCTGTGGTACATAAGGCAAAGAACTGGATGTGTGGTACATAAGGCAGAAGTGTTCATAAAGTAAAGAACTGGATGTGTGGTACATAAGGCAGAAGTGTTTGTAGAGTAAAGAAATGGTTGTGTGGTAGACAAAACAGAAGTGTTTGTAGAGTAAAGCAATGGTTGTGTATTAGATAAAACAGAAGTGTTTGTAGAGTAAAGCAATGGTTGTGTGGTAGACAACAGAAGTGTTTGTAGAGTAAAGCAATGGTTGTGTGGTAGACAAAACAGAAGTGTTTGCAGAGTAAAGCAATGGTTGTGTGGTAGACAAAACAGAAGTGTTTGCAGAGTAAAGCAATGGTTGTGTGGTAGACAAAACAGAAGTGTTTGCAGAGTAAAGCAATGGTTGTGTGGTAGACAAAACAGAAGTGTTTGTAGAGTATAGAAATGGTTGTGTGGTAGACAAAACAGAAGTGTTTGTAGAGTAAAGCAATGGTTGTGTGGTAGATAAAACAGAAGTGTTTGTAGTGTAAAGAAATGGATTTCTTGTAGCCAAGAGAAAGGTAACATAAAGTAAATAACTGAAAGAATGGTACGATGAATGAAGTGTAACAAACAAATTTATGAAGATGAAATATAAAACAAGAAAGTTTAAAATAGTAAGTGTAACGTAAAGGAAGGGTTATATGCTGCAATAGACTGGAGCTTCAAGTTAGAATATTGAGGCTTAACACACTTCAGGTGACATAAGATTATAATCTACAAATTGTAAGGTTTCATGCATGTTTTTCTGTGTTAGTCGGTTTAATATTTTCCGTCATTTATTTTCATTCATTGTTTTATTTTTGATACATTTGTCTTGTTTTTGGAGGTATTTTATCTCGGTGTGTAATATATTTATTGAAGATAAAATTATTTTTAACCTCTGTATTTCATCGTTTTTCTAATACTCAGTTTTATAGGCTGATGTCTGGCAGCGTTTTATTATGTGCTGTATATTTTTGTGTTTATTCAACATAAAATTGTATTTGAGGAAAGTAAAATAATCGATTTGAACACTTTGTTCTTCTGAAAGTATATGTCAATAGTATTCATCATATATTCACAAAAGATATCTTTTTTTTTTTTTCTCTCCCGGATTTGTACTTTGTGTGTGGACAAAACAGTTTAACATCTTAATGCTAATGGAAAATATTTATTGTAAATCAATGAAATGGTCGTTCTTCTGAAAAAATCTAAATCTATAAATAGCATTTGAAAGGCACTGTTTCAACTTTTATAAATCAGAGTTTACTGGTAGAGGATCAGGAAGAACTGGTTTGTGTTGAAATTTTCAGTTGTTATTTGTATCCGAGTTATTGCTGATGTTATCAATACGTTTTATATAACATAGATTTATTTTACGGATATGCAACAATGTTACAGTAACGAACCAAGTGATAGGCCTAATACTGATGTCTTTTGACAAGTTAACTCGTCTGCGTAAGTGTAATAATACTTTGACATCAATAAAGCGTTTGATCCTCGTAATTTCGTGTTTGTGTTGGTTAAATAATATTTTGGTATTTAACAGTGTTTTAGCCGTAAGTAATATTCAACTCAGTTTAAAATGTGCGCGTTGTTCACGATCACGAAGAACAGCACGACTAGTTTTAAACATAATTGTTCAATATAACATTAAACAGTAGTATAGCAACTTATAAGTTAACTTGCACAATGGATTTCGTTTTTGTGAAATTGTGTTCCATCATAATATTTATCAATTACGTTGAATCTACGATTGACATTAACAGTAAGCAGTTAGAAATGGTTGCTGATCATTTAACTTTGGCTGAATGTCGAAAGCTGTCCGAAACCTTGCATAGTGATGACTACGAAATAGGCCATCCAACAGGTATTTATTTATGTTATCATTCTTAATGCCGAAAAACAAAGTATTAGAATGAAGTGCATTGAAAATCTTTCTATGGTGAATGGTTTTTGTGTTTTCAAAATCTCGATTGTAAAGGTATGTCAGTAGGGTTCCAGACTAGCACAACGTAAAGTGTTCGCGAATTCCAAATTATGCGCCATTGCAGACAGGCTTAATTTCCTGTTCTTTTGAAATGTAGTTTGATATAAAAAATATACATTTCTTTCAATAACTTGGCATTTCTGTTTGATTAGGTTTAGGCTTTAACTGTGTGAAAGGTTAAATCAAAACTTTTATAGATAAAAAAACCTTAAAATGGGAGGTATAAAATGGCATTATTATATAATTTCTGTACTAGTACATATTGGATTGTAAAGATATTTTAATGCCAGTAATAAAATGTTTTATTTTAATTAATTAGATGCTCAATGAAATCGAGTATCTGATTAAATAATAAAAAATGTGTTAATATCGTTTATTAAAATTAACAAAGAATAAACTTGCCACAAAAAATCAACTACAACAAAATTCTTATTCTAATAAGCAATTTAAATAAATAGCATAACGACCACTACTGTGATTAGCTCTGATATTGAGCGAAATGCGCCGTTGGCAATATAGGATCGAATAAAGTGTAAAAAATAAACTATACAACACTATTATCTTATATCAAATATCATTAATAGTCAGTAATCTGTGAGATTCGCACTGATTTTCAGAGGAATTTTTTCATCTTTTTTCATTTTGTTTCTCTAATATAGGTAATCTTTTCATCTAATGAAACGCAAGGTAAAGGCAAGAGAAATGATTTTCTTGTTAAATATCCGAATTACTTGCAAAGTATCATCGTAATTATTTTCTGATTTACTTGTATTTTTTTTAATATTAAAATGTAACATTAGGCATAGTTATCTAAATGAACAATATTATAACAGAGAGAAATCAAAATATTTTATATTAGAAAAATCTATAGATCAGAGTTTTTCTTAACAATTTTTATTATAAGAATTTGATTCTTGTGAAGTTAGTGAGTTTGCTGTTTAATATTTCCCCTGGTCTGATATCCTATCATTGTTCGAGAAATCTGAGGTCAGGGATGAAACCAAATGAACCTCTAAGATAACGCAAAGGAAGTCCCATATTTTAATTTCAAAATTGAAATGCATTAACGTGAAAGATAGAGGTCGTCATCTGATATGTGGGAGCAGTATTGACGAATGAATAAGGTATGAGAGACAGCTATGGTCACAGAACGAAAATAAGAGGAAAGTGACTCATTCAATGCTGCCAACGTTACCACTTAATGATTATCAAGATCTTGGTTGAGTGACATTTATAGAAAAGATACAGTAGATATCTTTGACTTAGGAAAGTATATCTTGATGAGTTTGGAATGAACACCAGAACTATCTCATTACCAATCTTAAGAAGAAGCTAAGGGCTAAACTAAACTAAAGAGTAACCATGCTCGGATCAAATTGTCAAGCTAGAAGAAGCTTGTGCTAAAGAGAGAGACTAGAAAATATTCCACTGGATGTGCAAACTTAAAAAATATGTATGCCATGATTAAGTAAGTTCAAAACTGAAAATGATACGACCTAGACATTGAAGGGCATTGCAAGATCTCCTGGGAAAACCTAAAGAAATGTCCAGGAACTATAGCATTATAAATCTCATGTAAAAGTAAAAACCCATTATTCTGTAAACAGTTTAAACAACTATAAGTTGATAAATGTCTTGGATACCATCAAAGGAATAAATGACACAGTGTAACTACTTGTACCCGATGATGACAAAACCTTGTCGAAATGTTGTACATTTACAGTACAAACACCTTACCAAAATAGTGGATTTATTGAGTAAAACACCTTACCAGGGTAGTGGATTTATTGAGTAAAACACCTTACCAGGGTAGTGGATTTATTGACTAAAACACCTTACCAGGGTAGTGGATTTATTGAGTAAAACACCTTACCAGGGTAGTGGATTTATTGAGTAAAACACCGTACCAGGGTAGTGGATTTATTGAGATAGCTGGATTTAATCCATGTTATTTCTTTTAGGCCCTTGATTAAAGTAAAAGTTAATCCAGAACTTGCTCTGTGCAATGCAGTACTGCAGGGAAAGTCATCCAGACCTAAATTGAAGTTTAAAAGCCAAGGATATTATGTTTAAAGCAGCAAGCATTAGGATTCATTTAGGAAGACATCCTTTCCCATCAAATGGAAGTTGTTATCAGACATATAATATTTTTGTCTCTTTATTTTAACAAGAAAAAACAAAATTACATGCATTTAGACAACCACCTTCGAAGACAAAATACAGGATGGCAAAACGATGTGGTAGTACTTGTGAATTTCAGTTGGGGGGGAGGATTTAATTAGCTAAACTTGTCATGTGGTAGTTGGTCAACAACCATGTCAATTAAGTGAGTAGGATCATGACACACAATTAGTTGGTCAACAGCCTCTTCTGTCTGGCCAGGAAAACGATGCCATATGCTGGTTGGTCAACAGCTATTTCTCTATCGCCAAATATTTTTTCAAGAACTATAAACATTTCCATGGAGGAAGTTCGAGAGAAAAACTGATGAAACTTATAAATGGCAATACATTTTTGCTAAAGAAGGGCAGAAAGTCAGTTTATCTGTGCACGTAAGTTTAGAAGACAGTTTTACATCCTAGATGAAATTTGTGTTGAAGTTGTCCAAATTTTTGATGATGAATAAAACCAACAAACACTCAAAACTATGTCACTAGTACATTTTCATGCCCCAAAGATCAAGTACCACGATGACTCGGTTGTCTACCTGTGAATCAACAAACTGACCCTCCAAACTACATCAATGCTACATTTTTTTTATCCCAAAGGTGACTAAATTGTCTACTTGTTTACCAGGTACTAATATTTTAAGTTATGTGTTTGAGTACTAAAAATTTTCTTTCCAGGATTAATACTAATATCTTATGTTGATGTGTTTGAATACTAACAATTTTCTTTCTGTGCTAGTCCTAATATCTTAACGTGTTAATTTGTTTGAAAGGTATTATTAGTACTTAGCATACTCATGAAAGCTGCATTGTACAACATGCCTGATGAACAGGTGCTTGGATGACTTTTCAGTCCATTTATTTGTATTTTAATCAGGTTTAAACTGATGAAGATACATTGATGTGAACCAAGATCTTGTCTAATTACCAGTTCAATAAGAAGGTTTCCTCATTTCATCAACAAATTTGAACTACTTAACCATTCATTCACTGAATTTTACCAGTTGTTTCATTGAAGTTTTGTTTTTTTTCGCTTTAACTTAGAAAGAAAGTATAAACATGCTTAGGTTTAACCTTTTATTGTCATTTGGATAAAATTTTAATTGAAATAAAATGTCCACTACTTAGGTGAAGATGAACCACAAAACCTTTCCTGTCTTCGATTGTTGGAACACTGGAACACTCACGAAGGCCAAAAGAAGACTTTCCACCAACTTGCACAGCGTTTACAACAAATTGGCCGCAGAGATATAGCAAATAAATTGTCAAAGACAGTTTATGGTGAGAAGATTTTAGATGTCAAAGAGAGCTTTCTTGATGATCCTTTTAAAGATCACATCAAAAACCGCCCCCCTATTAAAGATGACAGCATTGTTGTTTCTGAAGGGGCTGACATTGATCTGGATAATACAATGAGTGGGTGGTCTTGGACTGATATAATGTACCTACTATGTTTCATAGTTGTTGGTTGTATGCTTATCTTGTTGGGGTGCTGGAAGTGTTTGGGGATATTATTCTTTAACAGGATGAGGGATGATTACAGTGGGTATTTAATTGGTGATTCATCTCTTACAAGGAAAAGAAACTTAATGCTTTAAGAACATTGAAATTTGGATTTTGTTAAAGTGTTTCTTTGTATGTTTTTTTTATACAAAATTTTTTTCGTCTATTTTTGTACCACTAGATTATATTACTTATGATAAAAATAGACAAAGTATATTTATTTCAAAGAAAGGATGATTTTTTTAGCCTGAAGTAAAAAATAACAGATCCAAGATTACCAGAAAAATGACAAAAAAAAGATATAAAATTAACTTACTTAAGTAAACAGAGTTCAGTCTTTGATAAAAAAGATTGAATTTTGTTTTTTAACATCTAATAAGAATATTTTGATGAAACTGGTTTCCTGGTACAACTCTTCAGTCTGAGA